CCAGGCAGAAAATTAATTTTCTTTTCATTCTGTTTATATAAGACGGTTAAAGATATACACGTACATATACATGTTTTCCTTTTAAGCATATATCGAGATATTCAATACCTATGACTAGAAATAAAGAAAAGACGCGTTTCAATATTGTTTTCTATCATTTATATAAATAAATCTAAATTCACTCCTCGCGTTTTCACTCGCCTTTCCTCTACCATATTACTATCTATACCACTAGTTCCATTCTGTTGAAGAAAAGAAAACTTGCAATGCATAGTATATCTTCACAAGCCCTGGATAAAACAGCGAAATATGTAAGAAAAACAAAAACACACCACCCTTAACTTGCATTAAGCGAAAGAATTTTTAATAGCACTCTTAAACGAAATATGTGCGTAAAAGGTCGGCAAATGAAAGAATTTTCATATTCAATAAAGCTGTATCACTTCACTGAAACCTAACGCTGCAATCATAACAATCACCAACTACATATTTTCACCTTCAACATACACAGTGCTCCACGCAATTACTTCCTACTTACTCTCCATCTTTCTCTAGCATCTATCTGTTATTACTTACAAAACCCAAATCCAAGCATTATTTAACACTTAGATTTCACAAATAACTATCAGCACAACTTTTCACCATGCAACACCATATACCCTACACACTGTTACTAATACACAGTGATATGGTTCATTCATTTCACATTAAAAATAAACCATTTTTATTAAAACAAATCCATTTCTCCTTGAGATATCCCCGTATAGTGAAAAAAAAATGTTTCCTCTACATTATTTATCTATTTCTCCTTGACTATTATGAACTTCTGCTGGAATGAGGGGATATGGTTCATATATTTTTGCTTGAAAATAAACGATATCCACTGTAAAATATCCACTTCTCCTTGAGATATCCCCTTATAGTGAAAAAAGAAATAAATGTTTCGTGTAGATAATTTATCTATTTCTCCATGACTTTGTTAGGGGTAAAGTATTTCTGCTGGTTAATGAACCATTTCACGATTTTAGGTGATGTTGTCGCCCCCACCAATATCCAAATTTATTATTCATTCAAGGGTGGTTCGCTTACTGATTATAGTTCACATGGCATTCACGCAACTGCCTTTGGAGCTCTCGTCACTACTACTGGTCGTGTTGATGAAGCAATACAGTTTGACTCGGGAGCCTACATTTCGAATAATTATTATCCATTTGACTTTTCACGCGTTAATGACTATTCATATACAATGGCCTTGTGGGCTAAACCGACAGGAAGTAACTCGGCACAAACACTTGTTTTCGTATCAACATCGACTGGTTGGTGTGCTCACTTTATAGCAACAACGTCAACTGGAGTTTTAACAGTTAATAGTTGGATGAATGGTCCTGTAGGCGCACTCGGTCCTTTACTTACGTTAAACACTTGGACACATATTGGCTATACTTATAGCCCATCGAATGGTATTCGATTGTATGTCAATGGTGAATTATACTCGTCGAGTGTGCCTTTTACATTTTCGGCTCCCGACGCCCCGGTGACCATCACATTAGGAACAGATAATGGTGCAACGGGTTGCACACCTGGCTATGGAGGTGAATTCGTGGGTGCTTTGGATGAATTCTATCTTTATAATGTTGAATTAACAGCAGCCCAAATTTGGACATTAGCTCATCCTTAAAGTCACCGCAAATTATTGACGATAGACATTTTATACTACGACAATGCAGCAAACTTTCCTTCCTAAATCTCAATACTCTTATATTTTTTTTTGGTTTATGCACTATATTTATTCGTGACATCCATTTATATTTTTTCTTTGATTTTTGTGGACGCTTACGGAAACAGTAGTCAACAGGCAAGACTACACGATAATAAACAGAGAAAGGATGACAAGGACGAGAAACGTGAAAACGTAAACAACAGAACGAAAGTCGAAATCGAGGCAGTGATAACGAAATTGGCGTGCAGTACTGCTCTTCCTTTGTTTATTCTTCCGATACCGTTTATCTTGACACCGAAGACACCGTGCCGGGAAGGGATCAAACCTTCACATGTTTGATTAATAATAATCATATGCATGGAACCACTACGCCATCCCCGGCCAAGCTTATTTGATTGCTTTCAGCACTCGATAAGGATAAAATGCTTGTACAACATTAAGAAAAAAACTGTACTAACATGATACATGAAAACGAATTTGAAAATTTAAATCTAGATACACCTATGAGTCTCTGTGTTGGTGTGGTGTGGGAATTAGTTTGAATAGCCCAATGAACAACCACAGACTGTCGGAATGACGATGCAGCAAATATGTTTTATGCATGTAGTCCTTGAACTACTGATCAGTGTATTTTTCATATCAAAAAGATGAATACGTGACGCACTAGCGTTGATTTGTTTAAATTTGGAAAGTTTTAAGATACATTAGCAATGTGCAATCAAGAACACACCGAATAAATAAATTCATCAGTATTGGACGCACTGAAAACAGTCATAGGAATAAAACGAATTCCAGTATTTAAAATATGATGATGTAAAATTTCCAATGGTCTGTTATCTACATTAGATGTGTTGACTGTGAGAATTCAAGCATATGTACTTATTGACAATGAAACGTTTTTTAAAGTAGAGTTTTGTAATGTCGGTTTAGGTTATAAATTACTCGACATATCCTCATAGTACCAGTAGTAGAGATCAGAGATGCGATCGGTTAAGGTTTCTTTTTTAACCGGACCGAACTGAACCGAAAAATTTGCCAACTGAACCGAACCGAGCCGAATCGATTTTTATTTTTAAAACTTTTAACCGAGCCGAGCCGAACCGAATTGGCATAGAACCGAGTCAAACTGATCCCAACCGAAAAACTTGTACAATTTTCAAATTTTTTTAAGAAAACTTATGATGCTATTAGGAAACTTGTCTTAAAAACTGATAATTGCTGTACACTATAGATAAATTTATTTATTCAGCTTTAGTAAAAAAAATATGACAATAATAAAAAAATGAAAACAATGCTAGAAGCTTTTTAGTTTTTGTTTCTTCTGTTACCAATTTTTTTTGTACATATTGTATGAATGATTAAATACAATTTACTGTATCTGGTGATAATCTTGAACGTTTCTGAGTGATGATGTTGCCAGTGAAGCTAAACTCTCGTTCTAAGGCTGCACTAGTAGCTGGTACACCTAATATTCGAGCGGCAACCTTCGCAAAAATCGGATAAGACGAATGTTTCTTCTTCCAAAAATCCAGAGGATTATACTCTGCATTTTGTTGACCAGCAGCTGTTGATACATGTACTTGATCTGTTCCATGTTTTAAGTACAACTCAATTTCAGCTTCATGTGATGAAGCTTTCAATGCATCTTGTCGAGCAGCACTTTCATCATCATCATCTTCTGTACTTAGATAAAAATCGGTCATATATGAACATGAATTGGTTGTTGATATTGAAACTGTTTTTTTTTCTGACTGGTGACATCATGTGCTGATTGGTGTCGAATATCAGCATTTCTTACCCAGGAGATTCATTCCGACCTACGGATCTTCCAAGAAACGACCGGATCCGGTATCGGATCACACCGGAATCCGACGAGTTCCACAGTAAGACCGGCCGGAACCGATCCGTATTACTCCGGATTCCTAACTAACAGATTCCGACCCGGATTACGCCGGAAAAGGATCCGATCGGATCCTGTCGAAATCGATGATCGGAACTTTCATGAAACGATCGGAACCGATCATAGACAAACGCCGGAACAGAAAAACTTCCTGCGACATTCCACCGGATTCCTATGCAGTTCCACCAAGATTCATCCGGATTATATAGAGATTCCCTTCTCTCAAACATCCCTTTGATTCCCAATGCATCTCCAACAGATTTTCCCGGATTCTAAAAACATCCACTATTGGGTTTTCGGGATAACTAAGTCATTCTCATTAAGATTATATGGATTAAACAAAAATCCATATTATGACTTTGAGGATTACAGAATCATCCACATCAGGATTATCTCGATTGAAAAATAAGCCACATCAAGATTAGGTACAACACGCCAATCATCTGGGAATATTCTTAGATACCACACACCAATTATCTAGGATCATTCCTAGATACCACACACAAATCATCTAGGATCTTTCCTAGATACCACACACAAATCATCTAGCATCTTTTCTAGATAGCACACACCAATCATCTCGGATCATTCCTAGGTACAACACAAAGGTCATCTAGGATCTTTCCTAGGTACAACAAACAAATCGTCTAGGATCTTTCCTAGATAGCACACACCAAGCATCTAGGATCTTTCCTAGATACTACACACCAATCATCTAGGATCATCCCAACGCACAACACACCAATCCAGCTTGAATCATTCCTAGGCACTTCGCACCGATCACTTAGGACCATTCCTAGATCGTCTCCAGGGATCGGCTATCACCCTTTCAAATCCATAATACAGATTATCTGGGACCACTCCTACCACTGTAATCTAAATCGTTTAGGGTCCATCCTCGAAAGTATCCACGCATCACTACACAATAAAATCGCTAACTCTTCATGTAAATAAATATGTTTATATAACTTTCCTGAACACAAAACACTGAGTGGCATCTGACAGTAATCCAAATGGACGATTACGATGGATTACTAAAGATTATTATGGATTACCAAGGATTACCAAGGATTATCATGGATTACTAAGGATTATTATGAACTACTATGGATTAATTTCGATTACCAAGGGTCGGATAAAAATACATCTTCGTCATCCAAGTTTTAATCTTAAAATGTACGTGAAAGGGGCCTACGAAGAGTCGGCTATATATACTTCAACTTGCTCAAAACAAAACGGTGAGTGGCATCTGACAGTCATCCAAATGGACGATTGTGATAGATTAATAAAGATTATTATGGATTACTAAGGATTACTACGAATTACAAAGGATTGCTAAGGATTACCAAGCATCGGTAAGCGATTCTTAGGAAATCCAATCTATTATTTCGAATTTTTCTCGAAAAGATTACGGGGAGCGGCAGTTTATAGTATTTACCGTGTGGAAAAAATGTTGGTGTTTCCGATGTCCCTAGTAGAAGCAGTCATAATTTGAATAAGGACTCTTCAAATTAAGTACTGCTCTCTCATCCTCATCTCTTTTTCGTCGCTTGCACGAAAATAAAAAATAATGATTCATTTCAATTTCTTGAGCATTAGTAAAGCAATAATATTTTAGATTTCCTCATTTGGCGTTTATACTAGTTAGAAGAATTGAAGTTTTCAATAGAAAACAATGTACAAACTATTGATCGGGCTTTTTCGAAAGATCGATGCATATTGTCACTGCATGGATGAAAAAAAATCTACGAAAAACTCTGATCAAAATCAGGTATTGCATTAAAAATCAATTATCATGCTGCCAAAAAGGCGTCAGTTCAATCTGAACAACTGATTTCTCAGTATGAAACAGGTATTTGCTTGAATATAAATCGCTTAAAATCTATTTAAATAAATTGGTCTGATTAATGTGAACAAAATTGAGCTTCCATAATCACTCACGATTGATTCAACGCCAACACTTGATTGGAACAAATTAGAGTTGATAAAAAATAAAAGCAAAACTGAGTTTTCTTTCGATCTGTTAATGTAAAATTGAGTGCCATTGCATAAGTTTTTAATTGATTTTGAAAATTTCTCTCTTGTCCAATCCAAAGCATTTCAGATGAATGCTATTACCATCTTGATATTTTTTTAATATATTTTGACTACTTACATTCAACAAACAATATCACCTTTCATTTAGATGTTCGCAAATTATTCGTTCGATTTATTTTCCTCACTAAAATTTGCTGAGCGACGATTTCAGAATCGAGTTATTCGTTATTATTGCTCTCACCAAATGCCAGCTACTTAGCGCAGTTGTTAACAAAAGTTTTTGAGTGTTTCCGATAACCACGTAATAGTGACTCTCATTGGATCTGTAATGTGAAGCGTGATAAAATACGGTGAATGAACCTTCTTGATACTTATATAATCCACCACACTCTGATACCAGTATTCGAGGAAGTTTGTGATGAGATTCCAAAAGAAAAGATCCTTTCGTCGGATTTTGATTCTATATAGATCGAATTTCGTTTGATCAACAAATCTTATCAAGATCCGATAAAAATCCTGGGAATTCTATCGGATCCGGCAGTCGGAATTCTGTCACAAGGATTTTAACACAAGTCCGATTTATGTCATTTGTTTTCGATCGGATCCGACGTACTAATGTTAATTGGATTTTGGGATCATCTCGAACGATTAATTCCGCTATATTCTTGGTACCAGATAATCCCGAATCACGTCAGATCTGGCGAGATCCGGACATCGGATCCGATAGGTTCTGGCTACATGAGTCCGGTCGGAATGGATGGAATCCGGTAATCGAATATGAAAGAAAAATGACGAATATGATCGGATTCTGGCGGAAACGTCCCGACCGAATCCGATGACCGGGTATGAACGGATTTAAAAGCCGTCCGACAAGATCCGACGGACCCCGATTCTCCTGGGATATTTATCCACACCCACACACGCACAAGCACACACCCTCGATCAAGTTATTAATCTATTGGAATTTTTCGGTTATTGTTGTAAGACGTGAAGACTATAGTTCCCTATAATAATTATTATTTACTCACACTAACAAAGAATTTCAATATCATGTTGTTTGCTTCGTTGTTCTCGTCAATGGATAAATTTTGCTGTTTAAAGGGATTTCTTTTAATCTTAAACAATATGATGAAAAAAAAATCATGTTAGAACAAATCAGTCGTTGCGAATTTCTTATACATTTATAATATGAAATACTTTCAATTCTTCCATATTTGACTACAACTTCCTTGATGAATTTTTTTAAGCGAAATCTACCCATAAACATCTAGTTCATTTGTTGTTGAATCAAGTAAAATAAGTAACATAGATTGATAAGGTCAATATGCAGATTTGAATCATGTGCTAAATGTTTTATCTTGTCAAAGAATGATGACAATAAATGTTATGATCTTTAGAAAAGTCACAATAGAACACTTTTTTTATAAGTGGATTTGAATGCTGCTCTTCATATGTAGATTATAATAATACAGATTACAAAAGCAATATAATATTATGTTGAACATCTTCACATTAATATAACAAACATAAATGCTTGTCCTTTTCTGGTTTTCTTTAACAAATTAATTTTTCAATGTAAAATATACTACAATAATTAGTACAAATAAACCAAATCAAGATCATTGCAAATGATCCATTTTTATATACAAAAAATATAAATTTCAAAGAAAAGATTAAAACAAATTCTTAAAATCTAATTAATTGTAATATACATTCCATGAATGAGTTCCATTTTCCACAAATTGCGGTTCCCTAAATCAAATCCACATTTGTGGAAAATGAGACGATATCAATTTTCTGGTCACTAAATGGGAATTTTTATTGAGGGATTTTTTAATTTGTGGAATTTAATTTGTGGATAACCTAAAATAGAAAATGCAGCGTGTGAAATACTACTTCACAAAAATAATTTCTTTCCTACCAAACTGTATTAACGAGCAAAACACTGTGAAGAAAAACGTATACTATAGAATATTTGTTCTGTAGTACAACATTAGTGTGCATGAGAAAAAATAAAACATAATTCTTACGAGAAGAAATGTGCACCAGGAGTCGCAACGGTCCAACTTTTCATGGACCGACCCGACCCGTTGCGACCCGTCAGCTAGGTGGGCCCGCCCGGACTGACACATTAATCACAACGGTCCGGTCCGGTCCGGTCCGACCCGACCCGTTGATTTGTCTGGACCGACCGGACCGGACCGACATAATCCGATGAACTATCTTTTAATCATATTTGAGATTAATAAGATTGAAACTTAATGCAGTATTTAGAAAAAGTAATACTTATTTTATCCAGCATGT